GGTGAAGGGGGGTGGGGCGTGTCGGGGTTGGGAACCCCCATCTGGACTCGTGTGTGCTGTGTGTGTCTTGTGGTTTACATACATATGGGCTGTGTGAGGGTGGGGTTGTGTATATATTGTGTGCAGATGTGAACATCTGTGTGCTGAGGGGTTCTGGGCCCCCCGCCCAGGTATATGATTAGGGGGTCCATGTGCATTTCAAGATGGGTGTGTGTGTAGGATGCTGGTGTGTGTCCAGATGTGTGTAGGGGTCTTGGTGTGTGTCCAAATGTGCATGTAGGATGCTGGTGTGTGTCCAGTTATGTGGAGAGATCTTGGTGTGTGTCCAAGGGGTGTGTGTTCAACTTTGGCACCCCCAGGCTGGGAAAAGGACAGAATTAGGATAGAGCTAACACCCGCCCTAAGCCCCCATCTGGAGGCTTTCTGTGGTGCTGGCCCTGGGGCCATCTCCTCCAGGGAAATGCAATGGCAGTCTGTTCCTCCCAAGTTCCTGAGTTAGGGTCTTTCTGGGTCAGAGTTTTCAAGGCCTGAGCTCAGGTGTCATCACACAGAGGGCTTGGTCACATGACACCATCCATGTGTTTCCTTCCCATCCCTAGGAAAGAATGGCAGGAACAGAGCCCAATGGCATCAAACACTAGGGCTTATAGTGTGCCCTTAGGCAAGTATCCGGTCTCTGAAGCCCGATCTCCTCTCAGTAAACATCACCTAACTCCTGAGTTGCTGTGACACTTAAATGATCTTTATCAACATCTGGAACATTGTAGAATATATCAAACTCCTATACATTCTTCAAAACCCAGCTTCAATGTCCCTTCTTCCAAGAAGCCTACCTGGCTGCCCCCGCTCCAAGCTCTGGCTCCACCACTGGGCTCCCCCAGCTCTGGATTCCTCCTCTGGTCCCATCCAGACCCCAAAGTGCTACAGAGTTGGGGATCTGGATGTTCAGAGCAGTGTTTCAGATCCTCTGTGATGTAAACAGACCCTGAGTTAAATGAACCTGAGTGTGTGCTGCTGACAGCTCTTGGTGCCACAGAGATTTATTGGCAAGCAGCTAGAGGGTGGGATGGGGAGAGGGGAGGGCATCAGGACTGCTTCCAGCCTGATTTGGGCTGGGACCAGGGCAGGAAGCTGTGCTTCCATGAGAAACAGGTTAGAGCCCAAGTTTGGCAGAAACCTGAGCTGTGTTGGGGACCCAGGCCCTAGCAGTGCGGACACCAAGTTCTAGGACACAGGAAGCTCCGTCTCCGGCCAGCCACTGGGGAGGGCCAGGGGTGTCTCTTTCTCCGCCTGGACTTGCTTTGCCTGGCATGACCAGGAGAGAAGAAACTGGGGCGCTGGAAGGAGGCTCACCCTGCACAAGGCCATGGGGTCACAGGCCCCAGGGACTGGAGGAAGCAGGTGGCCTAGAAGAACCTCAGACAGTTCAGAAGAGTGGAAGGAAAGAGGTTCCTCCCCCTCCCCCGCTTCTCCGAGCTGTCCCACCTCAGCCCAAGCCAGGCCCAGGAGGGGCCTGCCCAAACCCCACTTCAGGGTGTAGGAAAGCTGAGACATGGCCTGCATTCTGTCCCCCAAAGGCGGAAGGGTGCTGTGTCCGGGGCCATGGTGGTGGCCCGTTTGGAGTGTCGGATGCCCATGGTGAATGCCGGGGCCCTGGCTTTGTTCACAGTGACCCGCTCAGGGCTGTGGGTGCCAGGGCCGGGTGTCTCATCTGGAGGTTGTGGGGCACGGGGCCGCCCCAGCATGGTGAAGGCAGGCGGGCGCTGACGGTACGCATTGGGGTCTGGGCTGTCATACTGGCCTGGGCCTGGTATCTCAGTGGGGTCCTGCGGGGGGCGGGCAGGGGGTGTGCGGCCCACCACCGTGTAGCTGGGGCTACTGGGCTTAATGAAGATCTGGGCACCCCAGAGAGAGGGCAGGGTGTAGGCATTGGGGGCGGGGGCTGAGGTGTCCAGGGGTGGTGGACGCAGACGGGAGCCCAGGGTGAAGGCCGGGGCGGTCCTCTGGCGCACAGGGGCCACCTTCTCTGGACTGTAGGCCCCGGGGCCAGGTGTCACCTCCAGACCTGTGAGAATGGGACAGGAGGTTTGGCAATGGACAGAGTGCTCACCTGATCAAAGACTTTGCATGGCTCCCCATTGCCCACATGCATCCTGGAGCTCGCAGCACTTCTAAAGAAGCCCCGAGTTACTTCTCCCCCTTCCCTAACTTGCCACACAGTCTGTTCTCTTTCAAGCTTCCAGGCCTTTGCCCAAGCTTAACCCTCTGCCAGGCAAGCCTCTGTTTCCCATTCCCACCTCTCAGGAAGCTTCTCATCCTTCCAGAGCCCCAAAGTCCCTCCTCCCAGCTGCCTTGGCCACAGCCCTCCCAGGGGTCCCCTGGCCTGGTTCTTCCTCTCTTTACATGCGGCCACACTGAAGTGGGATAGTCCCCGCATAAGTCTAATTCCACCATTCTGAGGTCTCACAAAAAGCAAGGACATGTCAAAGCTACTTTGACTCCCCGCAGTTGGCTTAATACACGTTTGAGAGGGTGAGTGAGTAGAGGGTGGGTAGCGAGTGGCTGGGTGAGAAGTGGATGAGTTGATGAGTGGATCCATGACTACAAAGATGGATCAATAGATGGATCCTGGATGGATGGATGGATCATCGAATGGATCTATGGATGGATTGGAGATGAGCAGGTGGGTGGGTGGGTAGGCTGATGAGAAGATAGGTGGGCAGGCGGGTGGATGAATCAGGGGGTGATGAGTAGATGGGTGATAGATGAGAAGATGAAAGAGCAGGTGGATGGGAGACGAGTCAGGTGATGAAATCAGGCACTTTAGGGGAAAGTAAGCTCTTCACAGCCTGTGAAACACTTGCCACAGCCCCCACTGCACCCTGTTGTCTCCTAATGCTGAGGATGAGCCCCAGCTGCCCTCGTGGCACCATGTGTGCACAGGGTCACTATCACCTTGGCTCACTTCACTCATCCAGGCTCTCCTAGGGCCCCCAGCCCCTCTTCTGAAATCTTGGATTTCATCATACCAAAAACACTGAAGTTCTAAGAACTTGGGGATAGGAGGGGAAGAAGAAGACAGAGGCAGGACAGTCACTGAGACCCCGAAGGGACAGGGTCCCAATGGGGTAGCACAGGTCATATACTCACCCCGAGACTTGCCCCTACCCTGCATGGAGTAGGCAGGGGTGCAGCTTCGGCCAAACCGGGTGACTTTGGGGTCCAGGAAGTAGACTGGCCCGGGGCTGGTGTCCTGTGGAGATGCTGGGGAGAGGAGCCCAGGGTCCTGAGTGCACTTCTGATGGCCCCACTACCCCCACTCAGTACTCCTGATTAGCCCTGAGGCTCTTCTACCCTCCAGACACCCACAACCCCATCTTGGAGAGCAGGGACCTCAGCCTACTCAGGTCTGCTTGCCCTGACCCGGGACCTGGATCTCTGCTTTGACTTTGTCTTGATGAGCATTTCTATGCCCTCCTGATGAACCCCTCAGCCTCTTCTCTGCCATGAGCTAGGGGAGCAGCTCTAGAGAAACCAGCGCATGGGTTGGTTAGAATTGTACGTAAAGTGAGAGTAACTAGGCTCTGACTAAGGGTCTGAGGAGGGTCCTTTTAGTGCCTGGGCTTGTTGTCATGTGACAAGCTTAAGGGAGGGGCTCTAAGTCACATTTAAATCCCAGCAAGTCCTCTATGAGCTGTGCCTTTGGGCCTGTCAAAGCCTTTTCCTCAGTAGTAGGATGAGAAGCTTGAAAAGTGAGACCATCATGGGACGGGTGGTCGGTGCCTGGCACTTAGTAATTGGGACCAATGGCTGTGATTGCCATTACTACTATTCATAAGCACATCCAGATATAAATGTATAGTAGGTTAATGTAAAGTATTAATTGGTTTACATATAGACATGGACATGCACACACCTGACTGAACCATGCACACGTATAAAGCACATTCATGGCAAATGAGCATATCCCAACTCATCCCATTTCCCAACTCCAAGCCTTTGCCTAAGCTGCAAGCTCTGCCTGGAGTCCCCTTCTTCTCCTAGGGCCTCCAGTGAACTCCTACTCATCCTACAAAGCCCAGATCCCATGCCTCCACCTCCAAGGAGTCCCTGAGCATTCAGCAAAGTCTACACTAACCACCCCCTACCCTGATTCTCCAGGTGTGTCCTTCAATTAGAGTTAGAGCCGGGAATGCAGGTTGCTCTGAGTCACAGGCTAAGTTCTTAACCTTCCTGGTGACAGATGTAACACTGAATCCCGCACTTGCCCTCTGGGCCCTTCTCCACTTCCTGAGTTCTCTTCCATTTGGTTTGAGATTTTTGCTGATTCTGAAGATGTCTCTGCCAGCTGCCCCCTCCCAACAAGCTTCCACCCACGCAAATCAAAGTCTCCACTCGGGACCCTTCTGGGCCTGACCCTGGCCTACTTGGGACCTCAGAGCAGCTCTAGAAAACGGGCTGGTGGAGTTTGTGGGCATTGATATGAAGAGCACAGGCTTGCTGGATGAATGGTGATAATACCACTGATGGAATGGACAGCTGGGGCCACCGGCGTCCCTGCACTTGGTGCTCCCTCACACACTCTCGCCAGGAGAAAAGTGGACGTCACAGAGGTCGACCAGGCAAGCCCCACAGCCTACTAGCCACCCCTGCCTGTCTAAACAACAAAGAATTTTCATTCTACCCTCACCATATGCCGGGAGGTAAGAGAGGCCTGGAGAGCCCCCTGGCTTGTTGATGGGCAAACTGAAGCTGGCACTCACTCTCCAAGCCCTCTTTTCTGATCACTGACCAGATATCGAGCGTTGTAGCTACTTTTAAGCATTTAACCTTCAATTACCGAACATCTCCAGGCACCTAATGTTTCTTTAATCCTGACAACTGTGTAAGGAGTGTATTGTCATTGTTTACAGAGGAGGAAACTGAGGTACAGAGCAGTCAAGTGGCAAGAAATGTACTAAGTGCAGAAGAAGGCCAATGCAGGTCCCAACCACCATAATACCCCTTCCACTCTCTTCCTCCATAAGGACACAGGACCAGCTGCTTCCTGAGGTCACACAGCAAGCCAGGGGCTGAGTGACCCATCCAGATTCCTGTCTCACTCACTAAGGCCTGGATCTATCAAGTGAGAAAATGCTCCCTAGGGGGAGGTTGGAGGTTCAGGAGGCCTCCCAGAACCCCCTCTCCCACCCCCACGTCCCTGCCCACCGGCAGGCCTTACCCTCGCTGGGCCTCCGGAGCAGCGAGTAGGCAGGACTGGCCACCCTGGTGCAGTCATGGTTGATATAGCCAACGGTGGATGGCAGGGCATATAAGCCCGGCCCGGAGCCTGCAACCAAAGCCCTTAGGTCACAGCCTGGGCCTAGGTCCCCTGAAACACGGTGTGGAGCCCAAGGCTCAGCCCCTAAGCCCACACCCAGGCTGCCAGCCACCCTCCATGGCAGGGTAGGGGAGCAGGAGCTGTCTGCAGCAAACAAGCATTGTGAGTCAAGCAAAAATCATAGGGGGAGGGGCTGCAGAGCCAACAGCCTCCTCCTGCCTATGGGCACAGGGGATGGGATAACTAAGGTCTAGACATAGAAACAAGTTGTTACAGGTGGGGAAACTGAGGCACAGACAGACATACACTGTCACAGGTGGGAAAACTGAGGCCCAGACACAGAGATAGTGTCCAGTTGCAATGTTTGGTAGCCTCTGCAAGAATGTCAGTGCTGCAAGAGCCAGGAAACCCAGCCATGGAGCCCGACCCCAGGTGTTTTGTTACAGATAGGGAAACTGAGTCACTGGCCAGGACCGTAACTGAGATCCTACAGTGAACGTCACAGTCGAACATCACTGTTCACACCCATCCTACTGGACAGAAAACTGAGGTTTTCGGAAGGGCAGGGACTCCTTAGAGGCTCCCAGAAAGGGTCCCACCACCACAGCCCCCCTCCTCCATGGCCTGCATATACCGTTCTCCAAGGTGGCCATCCCACAGGTCTTCCTCAGGCCGGTCTCTGGAATCTGGCACTCTGTGGCCTGCCGACCCAGGGACGCTGTGGTCAGCCGCGGAGCAGGGTCGCAGCTGAGGGTCCCCATGGTGAGCAGGGGTGGGTTGCAGGGAGCACAGGGCTGGGCAGTGCCCCCACACTTGATGCTGTCTCCTCGACTGCAGTGGCTCTGGGCCGCAGGTTCCAGCACCGTCCCCAGTCCTCGAGGCTTCTGCCTTGTTGGCAGAGCCCTGGCCTCACCACACCCTCCCAGGGATCGCACAGACGGCCCCTTGTCCTTCAGCAGGGAGTCTTGGGGCCCTGGCCCAAGCGGGCTAGTCGGCAGACGCTGGCCTGGAAGTGGGGCTGGGATCGAGTGTCGGCCAGATGGCTGGACAGTCCAGGAAAGAATCCGATGTCAGCAGAGCGGGTCCCCTGGGAGACGGTAGAGCTGGGCTGCTGGGGCCAGAGCAGGCCCCGGGGGAGCTGGAGCCACAAACAACACCCACAGCCTTGTAGCAGGAGGGACTGGTGAGGTCATGGGCTGCATGGCCCTATTTCTACAGCTGGGGAAACTGAGGCGCAGCCCAAGGTCATACAGCAAGTTTGCCACTCTGGGACAAGAAGCCTTCCTTCTTTCCTTCTTTCCTTCTTTCCTTCTTTCCTTCTTTCCTTCTTTCCTTCTTTCCTTCCTTCCTTCCTTCCTTCCTTCCTTCCTTCCTTCCTTCCT